AGGTAGGGGGAGATATGCGCCGACCCTCCGCTGGAAGCTCGAGACTTTAGAACACGATTGAGTAGTGCGGTGTAGTAGTCGTAGTCGTCGTCGTCGTCGTCGTCGTCGTCGAAGTCGTAGTAGTAGTTGATTGCTATTATATAACTAAGTGGTTGATCTTGATTAGGCGTCGACCTCTCCTACTCGAAGCTCGACTTCGTCGACTTTGCGTACGCCAGACTCGACGGCGCGCGGTTGTACAAGGCCACGCTCGTCGAGGCCATATCTCCCCATATCTCCCCACATCTCGCCATATCTCCCCATATCTCCCCCTACTAGGCCACGCTCGTCGAGGCCAGCTTCAGGGGCGCGTCCGCCGTGGGGGCGGACTTGCGCGAGGGCAGCTTCAAAGACGCCGACCTCACGGCGGCCAACTTCTCGGCCGCAAAGCTCGTCAAGGCGGACATCGTCGCGGCGAAGCTCAGCCGCGCAGACTTCTCGGGCGCCTCGCTGCAGCGCGCCACCCTCACCATGCTGCGCGACGCCGCCGGCCCCTCCTTCGCCGCGGCAGACATGCGAGGCGCCGTCCTCACCGACTCCGTCATGCCCGACGCGTCGTTCGCGCGCGCTGACCTCACCGGCGTCCGCCATCTAGCCCGCCATCCGTCCTCTCCTGTCTAGCGTCCACCCATACCGCGGTGTGTCCCAGTCCGAGCTTGGCTGTTCTTCTCCCCTGTCTCGCTTCCCCTGTCTTGCTTGCTTGCCCGGTCGAGAGAAGTTCACCTCGCCTTTCCTCCTTCCCTCAGGCGTCCGCGTCGAGGACGTCACGCTGGAGCGCGCCGACTTTCGCGGCGCCGTCGGCCTGGGCAGCGTCTCTTGGCTCCACATATGCGAGGCTGCTGCGCGGCGACCCTCGAGATCACGCGAGATCACGCGAGATCACGCGAGGTTAGGCTCGACGCGAGGCTGCCTGGCAGCAACCTCGCCGGCACGAGGCTGAACGGCTCCCCCACCTTTGACGGATCTCTCGAGATCGCTCGAGATCACGCGAGATCACGCGAGAGTAGGCTCGACGGCCTGTCCTTTGACGGGCAGCTGCAGGTAGGGGCCAAACAGACCACTGACAGAGAGACCCGTAACAGAGAGACGGCGCCCCCACTCGCCCTGCCAAACACAGGGCAGGGGGGCGTGCCCCGAGGGAGGAGAGGTCGGCGCGATCCGCCCGCGACGCACACGCTCCTCCTCTTAGGGCGCTGACTTGCGAAACGCGAGCTTCCGGCACGCGACGATGACCAGGCTGCAGGCGCAGCGGGTGCGCGCGTCCAACGCGGACTTCGACGGCGCGAAGCTGCGCGGCGCGAACTTTGACGGCGCGGACCTGACCAACGCGACCTTTCTGGGCTCCGACCTGCTCGGCGCAACCTTCGTTGGCGCGACCTGCACGGCGGTGGCGTGGGCGCCCCAGAACCGCTATTCGACGTACTTTCGGAGCCCATGCTGACTGCGTGTACTGCAGGGGACGCGCTGATCTCGTCTGGAGCGGGCGGCGGTGTGGGGCCTTTACCAGCCGGGGGAGTGTGTGCTTGTGCGGACCACGGTCGTGGGTCGTGCCCACCCTGCCCTGTCTGTCGCGTGTGGGCTGTGGCGATTTTGTAAGCACTTCCGTATCTGCGCATTGAGCGCAAGTCACATTGCGCACGCACTAGGCACACACCCGAATGAGGCGACGCCCGCTCCCAGCTCCCACATCGGCCCCTGGCTCTCCCTCTCACGAACCGATCCTGTCACCGACCGTGTTTGTTATGACCCCCCCAATGAACACACCAGTGAGGGAGGGCGAGACGATCGAGGGGGGTGATGCTCCGATAAACCCTCCGGATCTTCGACAAAAGTTGGACATTTCTTTTTTTCAAAGTGCAAGGTGTGAATAAGAGGTTTATGATAGGGCTACTACGACGAACTATGCGACAATCGACTGGGGAGCAGCCCCCCAGCACATCCCGCACAGAGACCTCGTAGTAACCCTACTAGTACCACCGATGCGATTGCTCAGTCAGTGACTGACAGTCAGTCAGCAGCAGACTTTGACGATTGGTGGCCTCGCGCCCTCAGTCGCCCTCCTCTACTGACGGCCCTGCCCCAGCCCAGATGCCTCATCCAGGGTGGTGCAACCACTCGCGCAGGGAGAGGGAGACAGTCGGCGATCTGCGCCGCGCAGAGGAGCTCCGCCTCGTCTGCGTCGAGGACGTCCACCGCAGGGCTATCATAGCGCCATATGACGCACTGCCTGTTGTTCATTACTTCGCAGGTGCCAACGTCGAGGACAATCTCACTGGTGGCGGCTGCACTCCCGGCCGGCGGTAGGAGAGATGAAGCTAATGTACTTGGCAGTGTACGGGGCCTTCCGGCGTGAACAGTGCCCCGGGACGAAAGAGGAGGCGACGTCTCTCTCGTCCACGAGCGCCTCGATGTGCGCATCGACGGTGTAACCAGCTTTGAGAGACGGGAACGAACGGCGGTGAATCGCCGACAGGTGCGCCTTCGTTCCTACCACCACTCCCACCACCGCCAGCTCCGCCGTGGACCTTGCCGGGCCCTAAGATGATGTAGTACCGTGGAGCAGCTCGTCCGTGCCGTTGTTGTACTCTGCTGTGGCGCCAGCTCGGTGTACAATACGGACGAAGACGGCCACAGCAACGGTGTAACCAGCGCGAGCAGGCAGCGCGAACCGCTGTGCCTCGGCGCCCCCCCCCCCCCACGCCGAAATCCTCGAGTTCTTTGGCAGCGCTTGTCTGTCGTTCTCCATACCGCCGTGGCGTGGCAGACGGTGAACGAGCTAGCGTGCGGGGACAGCGGCATTGTGCACGGTGCTAAGTGCATTGCCGTTCTTAACGGAGTCGCTTAGGCGGCTCCGGTGGTGTGCCGGTGATAGTACTAGCACGCGCCAGTTCGCACCTGTGTCGAGCCTGTGTGCTGTGAGAGAGAGTTCTTTTGTTTAAATTCTTTGGCAGGGGTCGTTCTTCGCCCACAGCAGCAGCTGGCAGAGCAGGCGCAACGACGCCCGCCCGACTGGGTGGCATACACAGACGGGTCGGAAGACCTAGGGATAGCAGGGTGGGCCTATGCAGTACTCATCGGGGGCGACGCCATCGGCGATGAGGGGCGTCGCTGACGAGCGAGGGCTACGGGCCAGTTGTCACTTCGGCGGCGCACCCTGCCTACCTCGGCGCGCGAAAGCATACCAACAACACGGCGGAACTAACCGCCCTAGCCGAGCTCCTCCGGGCTCTTCTATCCTCGTCACCGCAACGAGCGGGCTCACGCGGAATAGTGCGCACCGATAGCGAGTACGCGGCGGCATGCATGATGGGGAGGGTGACCCCCAAAACGAACAGACAGCTGGCGGAGCGCCTTCGTTCCCTCTGGCGACGCCTTCGCGCCAAACACACCGTGACGTGGAGGCATGTGGAGGGTCACAGCGGCAACAAATGGAACGACTACGTCGACGAGCTAGCTGCTCGCGGCAGGCAGGGTGACAGAGGCTCAAACGCTGCCGAGTGGGCGGACGGCACCATATCCCGACGAACACTCCCGACGAGGAAAGCAGCGCGGAGGGGGGCGACAGCACAGTACCATTGGGCACGGGGCAACAGGCGGCGGCCAGGACTCGGAGAGGGAAGATGATAGCGACGCCGACTGTGGGGACCTGCTACACCAACGGCTACAGCCCCAGCCAACCCCGTCAGCCTCCCCTCGCCCGCCACTGACCCTGAAGCCGCACCCGTCGAACCCTCGCCGTGCCCCCCGAGTTCGAGCGATATGGTCCGAGTACGTGCCGAGCGAGCAGGCGAGGGAGATCGGAGACGATCGGGGAGCACGATGCGTAATTGCCCTCGATGTTGACCCTCCCCCACCACAATTCTCCCCGGACGCCGCCGCTCTCGCACCTGCTATGGTCTCTCTCTCGATACACAACACGCTCGCCGACTTGGCAACAAGGGTTGACTCCCTCGCGCTAGGCGACGAACCTGCCCCCGCCCCTCGGGGCGGGGGCCCCCGCCCCCCCGGGGGGCCCTTTGGCCCCCCTCCAGGGGGCGACCCCTCCGGGGAGGCCGGCTTTCCCCGTGCCGGTTCTCCCCAACCAACCCCGCCGGCAGCGCGAGCTGCCGGCCACATTGAGCAGTTCGTCCGCGTCGCGCACTCGTCCCAACCGGGGGCCGCTGACTCGTTCTGCGCGCCAACGGCTGGTGACGCTGTGTTGCCCTTGAGCTAGTCCTTCCCCGGTCGCCTAGCCTCTGCGCTGTCTGGCGAACGCCTGTATGCCATGCGCGCGGACCACGCTTGCGTGGATACGTGGCTGGCAGGCTGACCCGTGTGCGGGGTAACCCGCGCACGGGGAAGCTTCACGGGTTCGAGTCGCCAAACATTAAGCAGCGGAGGTGTGCCGAGGGGGACCGGGAGGCGGTAAGCCGTCGTCGCCCGGCGCTGCTTGCAGCACCGTGGCGATGGCGCTAAGAGGTTCCTCTTTTCCGCGCCCCCCCCCGCAAGGCGCGCGACACACACACGCTTTTCAGGTATACCCGCGGGTTTTACCCGGAGTTGGCCTTATGTCGTCTAAGTTCATGGCCCCCGACCATGGGGGTCTAAGTCCGAGCCCGGCTCCGTGCGGGGGCTAAGTTGAGCGCTCGCTCGCTGCAGAGGCTAAGTGTAGAGCGACCCTCTAGCCGTAGCCCTACTACCCAACCATTGACCTGGAGGAGTTGCGGAGCGGTGCTGGCGGGGGAGGGGGCGGGAAGTCCCGCCACGAACGCCGGCGGGGGCGCGGCGGGAGCGACGGGGGGGGGAGGGGATGGAGTCGGAAGATGATGGGGATGGTCCTCTCGGCGAGCACGGGCGAGCACCACGGTGCTCGCGGATTCGACCATCCGCCTTCTGACTGCGAATCCGACGACGGCTTCTGTGAGGACGACGGCTTCTATCCCGTCCCCCCCGCCCCCCCCCCCAAGTTCAAGAATTGAGGGAAGTCTTGAGGTCTAAGAGAGGTCTAACACAGGTCTAGAGCGGCATGTATCACGGGAACCCACTTTTCACGACCCATTCCCACCCACGCCAAGTGCCGCCCACATCGCACCAGACAGCCGCCGCATCCAGATCCACACCCACTCCCCCTCTCCCTCTGTCGCCGACACGAAACTACTGGGCTCCGCAAATCGCACCCGCTGCCGCACCCTGGCGGCGGCGAGGACAGCCTCTGCCCTGGCGGCGGTGGTCGCATTCGCAGCGGCATTGCCGGCGGCGAGGCACCGGGCCGTGGCAGCGGTGGCGACGCCCCTGACCACCGCGACGACGCCGCGTGCCGTGCGCACCAGCGCAGCGGAGGGCCACGACGCGCGGTTGGGCGTACTGTGTCCGGCCTGACCCTGCGCGTCGGCGGCGGCCGCCCAGTGCTCGAAGCGCGGGGAGGGCGTGCGCCCCCGCGCCTCTTCAACAAGCGCGGATATCAGTTGGTCTCGTCCAAGGCGCTGCGCGGCGGCGACGAGCGGGCGAGGGAGAGCGCCCTTTGGGTCGACCGCCGAGGAGAAGGTGACGTGCGTGCTCTCGCTTCCTGGCACGGCGGTGAAGGACCAAGACGAGCGGACCAGCTCCGCCCTCACCACCCCTGGCTCTTGGGAAGGAAAGGCGGGATGCGATGTGGAGGAGCACGACGAGAAGAAGGAGCGCAACCGCTCGTCGACCCGCTCGTCGCACGTGAGCACAAAGTCACGGTCAGTCAGAGGCCACGGCATCGGGTAAAGCTGGTGCGCCACAGTGCGGTTCCCAGCATGGAGGAGCGTTTGCTCGGAGAGGCGCTCATTCCACTTGAGGTTGAGCGCCGGCTCGGCAAAGACGGAGAGGAGCGCCGCGATGCTGAGATCGACGGTGGCTGACGCAGAGACCTCGAGCATGGTGGATCGGGCTGGTCACCGCTGCTGGTGGTTGGGAGCGTTGGCCGATCAACGAGGCGGCTCCGGCCGATATGTGACTGACAACTGTGGGGTATCGTCAATCGCAAAAAGAATTTTTGCGTGATTCACGTAAACGCACAACCCCGGACCCGAAATCGCACAGAGTCACGCAACACGGGGTCCCAGGGAAGGCGAGCAAAAACCTTATCGCGCGCGCTAGACGCCGACTCGGAGGCCATTCACACAACAGGCAAAGCGCGGACGACAAAAAGAATTTTGAAACAAAACTCCCTCGCACGACACTCAAAGTTGCGGGTAGAGCCATGCCCGACTTTCGAAGGCGAGGCCTCTGCGACGAGTGCCAGCCGCGCTGCGGAGCCACGCCCTTCGAGCCGCGTCCCGTCGGCACCGTCCCTGAGTGTGTCTCGCCTTGGCGACACACACTCGACGAGGACAGTCCTGCTGAGACAACATAGGGTTTCAACACGAACATTCCCAGACCTCCGCTGTAACTCGCCAGAACCGATGCCGGGGTAATACCGATGGCAGTGGCAAGCAAGCTGGTCGGCGCCTGTCTGGGGTCGAGTCTCCCCCTCCCCGCCCCCCTCCCTCCATCCCTCTGTTTTGTTGAGAACATGCGCGATCGTTGGAGGCTCGTGTCTTCACCAGCTTCGCTTGCCCGATAGTAGTGGAGCATTCCGATGACAATGGCAGCGATGGTGCAGGTACGAGGTCTTGTGTCGCTGCATGACTGGAGAATCATTTGGCTTGAACGGTTGGTGTCTATTCGCGGTTGACTCCACGGACGCCGTTGATCAGCTTTGTAAGGTAGCGCCGAGCGCGCAGGCATTCCTGCGTGCGCTCACGGGCTTCGACCGAATCAAAGTTGCGGTTGGGGTTGGCATCGAGTAGCTGCTTCCGCACCACTGACTGCAATGCTTGGAGAGTGGTCGGAACGGCATCGATCTTCGGCGTGGGGCATGATCATCGAGATGGAGCCGACTGCACACCTCAGTTACAGTAACCCCAAACAACCTGACGTGGCGGCGGCAAACATCGGCAGGGGACACAGGCGCCTTGTTGCCGATCTGAAGCTTACGAGTATGTTCGCTCGCGAGCAACAGCAAGGGCAAGGATGGAGAGGGTGAAATTCGGCTCGGCTGGAAGGGGACATATGTACGCTTCGGCAACACGGAGACCGAGCTGCTCAAGTTGGTCAATAAAGGGCGCGGCAAGTGGTCTCCGTCGGGAGCGACGGCAGCGGCGGTGGCGGGGGAGGAGGAGGAGGCCGAGGAGGAGGGGGAGGAGGGGGAGGAGGAGGATGCCCCCACGAGGCCGCTCCAGCAGCTGCCTGGCGATTACCGTTTTGCGCGGGAGCTGGATTGCGATTTACGTTTGTTTGATTTTGAGGCTTTCGGAGGCTTTGGAAAGGAGGTTCGCAGCACCCTGAGGGAGGCGGCGAACCAGCTGAGCAACAAACTTTCGCACGCTCAGCACCTGGACGCGGTCACATGGACCACCAAGAACTGGCACGGGCTGCAGATGCACGCTTGTCTGTCGTCCTCCACACCGCCGTGGGCCCGTGGCGTGGCAGACGCCACTCAGACAGTGAACGAGCTAGCGTGCGGGGAGAGCGGCATTGTGCACGGTGCGGAATGCATTGCCGTTCTTAACGGAGTCGCTTAGGCGGCTCCGGCGGTGAGCCGGTGTGTGTGCCAGTCCGCGCCAGTCCGCGCCCTTGTCGTGCCCAGTGTGCCGTGAGAGAGGCTTGTTCGTCCAAGAATCTCTTCTAACTCGTGCCAGTGTGCTGTGAGAGAGGCTTGTATCTTAAGAATTCTAACGTGAGCCTGTGTGTGTGCCAGTCCGCGCCAGTCTGCGCCCTTGTCGTGCCAGTGTGCTGTGAGAGAGGCTTGTATCTTAAGAATTCTAGGGAGGGGTGGAAGAAATGTGAAACGATTCGGATTTGTGAAACGCCTCTCTCGCCTTTTTTCGCGAGCCACAGGCGCTCGCCCTGTGAGCCACAGCGCCTCCGGACAGCGTGCCGAGCGCCTGCTACAGGCCTGCCTGCAGCCCAGCCGCACTCGCTGCGGCGGCAGCTAGTCGGTTCGGCCTGGACTCGCGCGCGCCGAGATGGGAACCCAACACACGGCGCGTCGACCCGCCTACGCTTTTGCAACAAAGTCTGCTTGGCTTGTGCAGGTGATGCCCAGAGCAGCAGAGACGACGCCGGCAGCCTCGGCTCGACCTCGAAGGCGGATCTCGTGGCCAAAAACCTGTGCTCTATTCGTCGGTGGTTCACAGTAGACGTCTGTGTAGGGAAGCTCTCGCGTCGACTACGGCCGCCGAAGACTGTCTATGAGGGCACACCCGAGGAGGCGCCGATTTCAAGCACCGTGCGGCGGTGTCCAGGTCACAGGCATCGGCTGTGACACTGGAGAGTCGAGCAGCGGCACTGAACTTCCCTACAGGTCATTCCAGCGACCCACGGAGTACGGTCTCAGTGCGCAATCACTCTACTAGATCCCATCCTTGCCGGGCCTCTGCGAATGTAGGTACCGAGTTCATGCGTGGTCAGGTTGCAGGCCCATACTGCCTGGCCTCCAGCACCTATGATCACCGCGCCAGGCCGCAGTCGACGACGTTTGTGTGCGCTGGCCGCACTCAACCGTTGAGTCGCGGTGTATCAGTCTGACCACACTCGGGACCGCGTAGGCGATGTGGGCGACTCTGGCCGTCCTGCATATGACCGACCATGACCCAGGAGGAGTGTACACGAGACATATCGTACATGGCTGGCGTTCTCGCGGCAGCACTATCGCGTGCGGCCGAGTGCGAGCTTCCGTGCCCGGTGCCAGACGCACTCGGCGCCAGACGTCCTCGGGAGCTCGCAGTTTTGCCATACTTGCCTGCCCTCCCACTGGCTCGGCGCTCCTGGTCCCCACCCTCGTAGGCAAGGCTGAGCGACCCCGAGCTCCAGGGCGCCATCGCCGTGCTCGGCGGCGCCGCCAAGGGCGCGAAAGACGCGCTCACAAAGGACTAGACGCGCTGCTGCTAAAGAAGCCGGGCACGCTCGTCGCGAGAAGTGGCTGCCGCCGCCGTCGGGAGGGCGGCAGCCACTTCTCGCGCTGCCCAACGCGCCTTCGCCGACCGCCGCGCCATCGCCGATGCCGTTGCTCGCGCTACCGGCGCCACCGGCCGCGCGGGCCGCGCTGGCGGCGGCGCCGCCGGCCGCTGCGGCTCCGCAGAAGCGATCCCTCGCGCAGAATCGCCCTCGGTGCCGCGGCGGGCCGGGGGAGAGGGCGTGAGGGTGTCTGTGGTGGGTAGGGGCCCCTTGCCCATCGGGTCGCTGCGCGCTAGAGCAGCGGCGGCCCGCCTAGGGGGCTCAGGGCGGCCTGCCGGAGGGTGCCCCTAGAATGTGAAACACCTCCGGGGGAGGCCAACTTTGAGTGGTTGTGCCGAGTACTGTTTAAGGGTTGTGGGGCTGCTGTGGGCGGTTTTGGGCGTCCCTGGGGCACCCTCTGGAAGGGTCTGGCCCGTTGGTTCGGGGGGCGTCGCGTCTAGGGGGTGTATTCACACCTCAAAAATCGTTTCACGGAAGGTACACCCCTCCCTAACTCTCCCCGCGCCGCCTCCGCCACCCGCGTGCCTCCGCCCCGCTCAGCTAGTCCCACGCACGGCCTGACTGCTTGGTTCCTCTCGACCAGCCAGCGAAAACTCGCCGTTGGCTCTCGCACAACGCCAACGAGCATGGCGCCGCGCAATCGTGGCGAGGAGCTGCTGGCGGGTGGTGTAGCGGGCATCGTGTCTAGGACCGCCATCGCGCCGATCGAGCGGGTCAAGATCCTCGTGCAGACGGGCGCCGGCCGCTCAAGTGCTGGGTACACCGGCCTGGTGCGCGAGATGTACCATAACGAGGGGCTGCTCGCCTTCTGGCGCGGCAACACCGCCGGCGTCGTCCGCGTCGTGCCGTACATGAGTGCCACCTTTCTCTGCTACGAGGAGTACAAGGCTGCGCTGCTCGGCTGCGGCGCGCACAAGCAGCAGGCGGCGCTCGCGGCGGGCTCGCTCGCCGGCGTGACCGCGGTCTGCCTGACGTACCCGCTCGACCTCGTGCGCGCGGCGATGGCCAAGCCAAGCTCTCTCTCCTTCTCGGACCTGTCCTGGACCTCTCCTGGAACCTTCCTGTAGGCGATGGCCAAGCCAAGCTCGGTCTACACGTCGATGTTCCACGCGCTGCGCTCCATCCTAGAAGCGGAATCTCTCCCCATCTCTCCCCATCTCTCCCCATATCTCGGGCCCTAGAAGCAGAGTACGGATTCATGTACCCCAACCAGCGCTCGAGAGGACTCGCATTCAACTCTATTCGGCCGTGTTCCGCTGTATTCCCTGCACTCGCCACCCCCTCGTCCTCACGCGGTGCTCTGAAGACGCTGCACAGCACCGACCTCCCGCCCTGAGGTTGGCGTACTCAGCGCGTAGGCGCTCCATCTCTGCGGAGCGAGGCGTGGGCGCGCTGTACTCGGGCATCTCGGCGACGGTGCTCGGTGTCGCACCGTATGCGGGGCTCAAGTTCGCCTCGTACGAGGCCTCAAGGGGGAGATATGGGGAGATATGGGGAGATATGCCCTAATCTCTCCGTACGAGGCGCTCGAGATCACCCGAGATCGTTCGAGATCACTCGAGATCACCCGAGATCGCTCGAGATCACCCGAGATCGCTCGAGATCACCCAGGCGCTCAAGGGCGTCGTCGGCGCGAGCCTCGGACTCGACGAGTCGCAGCTACGCCCGTGGCAGCGCGTGAGCGCCGGCGCGCTGTATTCGCCGTCCGTTAGAGCAGACAGACCGCGGGAGCGGGTGCCGCGGCCAGTGCAGACCTGGCCTGCGCTGTGACGCGCGCGCGCGCCTCTTCAACGCCCTCTTCACAGCCCGTGTATCCACGCGACGTGAGATGCCGGCAGTACCTGACGTGCTCGCGCCCGAGTGTGGCGCTGTACCTTAAAGGTGCAACATATGTAGAGAGATATGTAGAGAGAGAGCTTGGGCTGTACACGTGACGCAGGCGCCCTCGGCAGCTGTGCGGGCGTGCTGGCGCGGGCGAGACACGCCCGAGAGACGTCCGAGACACTTCTTAGGCGCCCTCGCCGGGCTGCTCGCCCAGACCGCCGTCTACCCGCTGGACGTGGTGCGGCGGAGGATGCAGATGCACGACGGCAAGACGGCGCTCTACTCCTAGGAAGTGTCTTGGCAGTGTCTAGGAAGTGTCTAGGAAGTGTCTAGGCAAGACGGCGCTCTACTCCTCCCCGTGGAGCGCCGTCGCGACCATCGCGCGCGAGGAGGGCGTGCGAGGAGGTCTGCTCACCCACGCGCACGGGGCCTTGCGCTTTGAATGCCGCGCCAGCTCCTGCCCGCGTCTGGCTGTGGAGATGAGGGCTGCCCCCCTTGCCCAACCACTTCGTGGGAGAAGTGCACCTTCCCTTACCTCGCCCTTAGGCCTCTACCGCGGCCTCTCCCTCAACTGGCTCAAGACGATGCCGAACGTGGCCATCTACATGAGTCTGTACGACATCCTCAAGCTGCAGCTCAGGGGCAGGCTGACGCACGACTGAGGTCTGAGCGGCCGCTCTGTTTGCATGATGACGCTGTCTCGGCGCTTGTGAGTTATGTGTGTGCGTGCGCGCTTCTTGGAAAAATATCAGCCCAGGGATCTCTCGAGACTCGACAAGCGAGCGCTAGTGAGCTAGTGAACGCCCAGCGGGAACCGATATGCCTCACAAGTATTTTTATACAATACTCAGGTCCCGCTAGCAAGTCATGAAAAGATGAACAGGGTAAGGGAGGGAGCGAGCGAGCGGCAGCGGGCTCGCGTATGGTCCTATGGAGTGTGTGTGTATGTGTGTGTGTGTGTGTGTGTGTGTGTGTGTGTGTGTGTGTGTGGCACGCGCGCGGATCTCCATGCGTCCGTGCGCGTGTGTGACGAGGGAGCTAGCTCGTCGGCTCGCCAGGCTCCGCTGTGTCAGCAGCGCCGCGGCGGCGCTTCCACGACGGTGGAAGCGCCTGGTAGGATCCGTCCAGGAGCCAGCCGAGAAGCTCGTAGGCCTCGGGCGACGGCAGCACCGACGGGCCCATGTAGTGAAGCTCGCGTGTCCGGCCATTCTGAGACCAGCCGCCGAGCCCGTTGCCCCGAAAGCGGGGCACTCGGATGGCCTCCGCGCAGCCGTCAAGGGCTCCGATGCAGCCCGGCAGCATGCCGCTGCTCTTTGCGTCAAAGCCCGCCTGGATCTGGTCGAGTTCAGTTGTGTCGCCTGCCTTCGCGCTCTTGAGAGCACGGAGGAGCCGGTACTCCAACTCAGGGCAGGCGTGGATTGCGTTCACCACAGGCCAGACGCAGCTGCCCATCACGCTGCTTTTGCGCGCGACCCCATACCTGTCCAGGTCCTCAACGGCCGCCCCAGCGAGAAAGCGCAGTGCCACCGACAGCTTAATCTCGACGCTGAGCGGTGGGGCGGCATGCCCGGAGCGTGCCCCTCCACCCGCCGGTGCGAGTGAGGTGCGGCTCGAGGAGGGTCGCCAGGTCTCGGAAGGCAGCGCGAGAAAGCCTGAACTTTCGGCGGAATCGGTCGTCAGAGAGACACTCTGCCAGAAGCCGATCTCACGGACGAGTTCGTTGATCGGTCCGAGCAGAGGAGCCGCCCGCTTCCGGCGTCGCTTCTTCCGAATCCGCTTTGCGCCTTCGAGGCATGCCTCTGCGATGGCCAGCACCACAACCCGCTGATGACGTGTCCAGAAGAGCAGCCGCCCCTCGGCGGTTGGAGCAGCCGCTTGCACATTCCCCCACGCCCGCAGCATGTCGGCGAGAATCTCATCAGCGCCCTTGATCGCCGCGGGTCGCGTCGCAATCGCGAGGGCTGGAAGCCACGACGGCAACATTGTGCGCTGTCCGCGGGCCGCAATTGAACTCGCGCCTTGGTTCGTTCGTTCGTTCGGTTTCCGCCGCGCGCCGGGCCGTGGAGGCCCCCTCGTTTATTATATTACCCAAAAGCCAGGCCCACAACGCCCTCTATGTTGGGTCAAGGCGGGCGCCTAGAAGAAAGCGCCGCCCCCCGAGGGGGAATCCCACCCGTACCCCGAGCCCCCGTCGAAGAGCGCGTCGAAAGCGTCGTCGCCTTCGTCGTACTCCTCCGCGTCAAAGCACCGGACCGGCTCCCCCCGGCCGTGCTCCCTTGCCCAGCGCATCTGCCGAACATGCGCACGCTGCTCCTCGCGCGCCATCTCCTCCGCGGCGCGCGGCGTCCACCCGGTGGACGCCAACAGCGACTCGAGCGTCGCGCGATAAATCGCCTCGCCTTCCTCGCGTGATACCACCTCCCCTCGTTCGGGAAGCGCGCAGAGGGTCGTTCGAACGAACTTTCGTTCGGACGGGTCGGTTCGTTCGTTCGTTCGAGCTCCCACTCGTTTTATTAAAATGAACTCGGGGGCACGGGACGCGGCACAAACGGGGCACAAACGCCAGGCTACAAAGACGGGGAGGCACGTAGTGACGCAGGGGAGTCTAGGCGACGGCGGCGTCCTCCGACGCCGCGGCGAGCCTGAGCTCGGTCGCAATCTCTTCCGCCGCCGCGAGCTGCAGCGCGACTGACATGCGCTGGGCCTGCAGCGACAGCCAAGCGTCAGCGCCTGAGACGCCAACTCACCCCGCCGCCCCGGCCCCCGCCTGGCGCGCCAGCTCGCCCCGACGGACACACAGCGCCTCGTGACACCCTCACGCGCTAGCTCAGCATGCGCTACCACCCCTTCGCCGCGCGCAAGAACCGCCCCGCCTACGCCGGTCAGTGCCTGAGACTTCAACTCACCCCGCCGCCCCGGCGCCCGGCCCCCACCCCACTCCCTCCATCATCCGCTTCTCAGTCCCACATCCGACAATTGCTCGCTCGCCTGCGCAGGGCGATGGGACACAAGCATTCGAAGGAGAAGCTTGACGGGGAGGTATCAAGCGTCAAGCAGAACTACAAGTGCTTTTGGCCGTGCAGGTCTTTGAGTTCGACAAATGGGGGAAGACGCCCGTCGATAAAAAGCTCTCTGACATCCGCGAGACATTGCAGAAACTCTCGGACAAGGTCAAGAAGGCAGGGAAGACCAAGGCCATCCCCTGGGCGGAGACGGCATAACTCGCAGTACTCGAAGCGCAGTATGCGTTTATCACCAAACATCAGGAGTGGGCATCCGGTGCAAGTGGGCCAGTGGCTCCCGGAACGGAGACTGCAAAAATTGGCTACAAGTATGCGCTCGTACCCCTCGATAACTGGGTGCGCAAAAACACACCTCGGGTCCGGTCGATGACGCCACGCAGTTCCATCCCGCATCCGCCGGCCCCAAGCTCGTGATTCTCCAACACGAGTCAACGAGCCCGATGCCGACCCTCCGGCCATGCGGTGTCCTCTAGGGAGTCCTATGTGCACCTGTGTTTGCACGCTCTCCGAGCGACCTGCCTGTGCGCTGGTCTACGAGAGTGGCGGTATGCCGTCCTCCCACATCCTCTCTTGGCTTGTGTCTTGGTTTGTTTCTTTTTTTGGCGATGAAGTTCTTTTTTGGTCTATGAGAACTATCGAGAGCGGGTTGAGCGGTGCGAGCCGCCTGCAATACGTTGTGTTTGTTGTTTTGTTGCCCTGCATGGAGGCCCTTTTTCACATAAAAGCACACGCACCCCGGGCGAAATCGCACAGTGACAGTCGGCTGCGAGCGAGAGCCGCGACTGTGTTCCACATCACCCGCGCGGAGCACCCGCCTCGCCGCCAGTGTGTCCTTGGTCCTCCGTTGTGTACCGCCCGAACTCCCCTCTGTTGTGTACCGCCCGAGCTCCCCCCACCCCCGCCCGTCCTCCACGCACCCGCTCGCCGGCCGGGCGCCACCGCCGTGCCTCCCTGTTGCGCGCTCCGGCGGACGGCGGCGGCGAGCTGAGATTGCCCGAGATTGCGAGATCGCCCGAGATTGCCGTGAGCCTGTCCGAGATCACCCGGACGGCGGCGGCGGGACCGCGGGGGTCTTGCAGAGCGGGCAGATGCGCTTGGCGCGGAGCCACGGCGCGATGCACTCGAGGTGGTAGTCGTGGCCGCACGGGAGCGCGAGGATGACGTCGCCCTTGGCGTGGCCTTGGGGGGTAGGGGGGGGTAGGGGTGGGGAGGGGGAGGAGGGGGGCGGGCGCGGTGTACGAGCATGTTGTCTGCGTGTGTGGTGTGTGGTGTGTGGTGTGTGTGGGGAGG